AAGCCTTAGGCGTGAGAAGGGATATATTGTTGCTATTGCCCACCAGACCAACTACACAAATGGGTAGATGGACTATTACGTACAAATAATAACACTGAAGTTTTTAACCTCATTTAGTCTTTAAACAAAATATCATCTAACATTATTATTGTCATCATGTTTGCCACATACACTGTGGGTTCAGCTTTGTTACGTTCTTCAGTATCTGGTACGGACGCACATGGCACCTTTTTCCGTCTTAGTTCAACACTTAAAGTACTACTATAAACAACAGAAAAGTCAGAGTAAGAAGGTGGCTGTGGTGGAAGGATGGGTCAGAAATTGGACTTACACCCGGGAGACTGGCGTTTGTTTTCTGTGTGAAACAAAAAGTCAACATTGATTCTTGTTGTGATGTTATGTACATTAAGCAGCAATATTTCAGTTACGTAATTTAATCCATGCAAGTAAGGCAGTAATTTTTTACTTAGATCATGATCTTTTTCTTAACCTAACCAGGTAGTTTTGGTGCCTAAACCTAATTAAACTGCGACGTTTCACAATGTTACATTTATTTTTGCTGACTTGATCCTACACATACAAAAAAATAAGCTTAAGGATTTCCAGGGCATTCAAAAGGGAAGTTCTGACAAAAAATATGAACACCACTACTACTATCTTATGGTTCATTTAAGGTATTACAGGTTGTTTATTTGGATAGTGAGAAGGTCCAGAAGGAAAGAATGGAGGGGTTGAGGAGGCATGAAGGGAAGAAGGGGTCGAAGGGGAGGGATGAGGAGTCGGGAAGGTAGGGATGAAGAGGGGTGGCAGGAGCGGCTAGGAACCCGGGGCTCGAGACTCAGGATGGGGGCATGTCTCTATAAGTGTCTTGCTTTGTGATCCCCAAAAAGTGTTGCTGGACTTAGCAAAAAAACAAGCAACGCATGGATGTGGGGATGAAAGATGGAAGAGGCAGGAGCTCAGAAAGGAGTCTGATGTTGGGGATTATCCACTGAGGTGTGCCTGGACGGCAGATGTTCTGATTTTAGATTTGAGGGAGGCTTGAAAGGAAGTGCATAAAATATCTTGGGACTGCTCTTGTGCCCGAATTTGGTGCTGACGGTTATGTATTAGGAACCCATTCCATGAAAAGTTGAAAAGAAAAACTCCATAACCAACGTGCCAGTAATGTCGGACGGTCTTCAGGGCTTGGTTGAGATCAGTGTTTTGAGGTATCCGCGTGGTCAGAACCGTGCTGGGTGGGGTTATGGAGACAGCAGGTTCTGGCATGGGTGCCGCCAAGAAAGAAAGAGGTGTGGAGGAAACGACAACTTGAAACGTTGCAACCTGAATTATTGTAGTTATTACAAACCCTTCTGCTGCCTTGGTACAGTACGGGCCTTCCATTGTCGGCTTCCTGAGGAATCGGACTGTGGGCTGATTGTGCAGAGTTTTCTGGTAGTAGAGTAGGTGGTCTGGGGATGAAGCAAGGTGGAGGCGCAGTGGAACTGAGCCTTGGACAGGTGGGCGGGTAGTTGGGGCGTAAGGATGGGGTAAGATAAAGATGTGGCAATGACGCGACTGGCCAATGACTGACAGCCGGCTGGAGTGCTGTTGGAGGTTGCTGTGTAAAGCTGGAAAAGACTAGCTTTGCCGGCAGTTCAGTGGAGACAGGCGATGGTTGTGGTGTAGGAATGTGCCGGAATCGAGGCTGCCAGAGGGTTGAAAGCCGGTTGAAAAGAACTGTCTTCTCCCGAAAGTCTCCTTTGAGCACTTTGCATGTTTATGGAAATGTTTGAGGAAATCAACCAAATGGGTGTCTTTCATCCAGCCAGAGGGATTTTCCCTCATTTGCAACCAGATAGCCTGTTGATCACGAAATGATTGCTAAGGTTGACAGAGAGAAAAATAAAATATGGAGGTATACTATTCGTTGTGGTTGAGACAGCACAGGCCAGTGTGACAACGGTTCCCCTTTTAGCGGAGGTCAGTGACCCTACTTGTTTGCCTGAGCCAGGCAGACATAAACATGGTCCCTAATTTGAATATACAAATGCAAATTTTAAATATGCCCTACGTTTCATTAAGAGGAATGAAAATGCAATGAGGTCTGACTCACTAGCAAGGAAACTGCATAACAATAGTCCTAATAACTAAAGAATGAATAACTGTAAAACATCTTTGCTAACGAATATTGATGGTGTAAGCGGTTCAGAGGAAATTACATCAGTTATGGAAGAAACAATGCACTGTTAAACAGTGTTAATTCATTAAATATGACTTGCTGTTACAATCCCCGAAGGTTCAGCAGCATGGAGTCAGTCTTGGATATGAACACCAGGTAGAGCCAATCAAAGTCCAACACAGCAGAGAAGAGGGGAACTGGGAACGAAGCCTCGGCACCCCACCTCCGCTGGATGTACTTCCACTTTCCAACCTCGCTCCACAGCTTTAGCTGCCACGTCTGCATAGCGCAACTTCTTACGTTCTGAGGCCTCTTCCACAGCTTCCTCTCAGGGGACAGTCATTTCAACAAGGAAACGCGTCAACAGGATTTTGACAAGAGGGCCAGATCTGGTCTCAGGTTGGTAGTTATGATCTTGGGTGGAACTATGAGTTTCCAGCCCAAGTCAGCACGCATTTCACAGTCCCTGGAGCCATGAAGTGGGCTTTTATAAACAGATGAAAGGTGGGTATCTTGCTTCTCTCCCTCCCGGATGAACATCAATGAGAAATTTGTCCTGAGTTTTCAGAGGCAGGGCATTGTTGGTTACTCTCATGGGTAAAATTTGAATAAGCTGGAACAGTTTGTCCTGACCTTTGAAAACATGTAAAATTGTCTCCCCCATTCAGTGTATGCAATGGAGTTGGAAAGGGAAGCATTTTGTCTCCCTTTCTCTTCAATGTTTATATGGATTATATATCAAAGCTGTTAAACAGCTGTGGAACAGGTGGTATGGTTGGTAACACTTTCATCAACCATGAAACTATGTACCCAGACAATTTGGTAATTCTTTGTCCTTATACCTCTAAAATGTGTGGTGAGGCTGAATATTTGGGACATTATATAACTGATGACCTGTCTGATGATAGAGATATTTGCAGACAGTGTGGTATGCACACACTAATATGTTGATTTGCAAATTTATAGCATATTGCACGCTTACGTAAACTGCCTATTTGTGGCGGTGCTACAGAAAGAGCAGAATGCAGAAGCTCATCATACCATATAATGATGATATAAGACTGCTGCTTAAGGTGCCACAATGGAGCCGTGCAAGCCATGTGTTTGTCAGTGTTAGCGTGCCCACCTGCTCTGCTGTGCAGCGCAATCTAAAGTATATGTGTATGTGTAGGTTATCAGATTTTGCAAACTAGGCACTAAGTTCAGTCAGGTTATTTTCCAGAATGTGGAACCATTGGATTTTTAACCTATATGCAAATGGGCCTATGTAACCATGTGCTCTATCTTTTCTTTTTTGTTTGTTTGACTGTTTTTATTGTATGTTTTTGGACCGGGTGTGTGTCCTTGATAAAAGGTTAGATTCATTCATTCATTGTCGAATAAAGAATTAACACTTACCCTACTTACCCTGGCAGAGCTAGTTGCCTACGGCTTTCTCAGCAACAGTGTTGTGTGCAGCTTTAAACAAGCCTGTAAACCACTCTCTGGTGGCCTTTTTATTTTCTGTCCACATAGGCGCGGACTTCACCGCTGTCCGTAGACACCTCACGAAAAGTGTCCGTGTACCCAAAAGCCAAAAATGGCGAACGCCAAAAAATATTCAGACTTATAAAACCGTGCGTACGCACACTTGTAAGCAAGTTCCCTTTATAAATCACAGTCAACTTGAAATGTGGCACATGTGAGGGAGCTTTAGGCTTTAAGCCTATACTACTCAGAGGTAATATTTCGATTTATTTTACACAATAGGCCTATTCACTTCAAACAGTTTCATCCTTCTGCCATGTGAGTTTCTCATTTCTCCTCTTTATGTGCGTGCACATGGTTCAGAGTTTACTTACAGGACGCACATTCTCCCGTCAAGTTTGTTTCTTATAGATCACAACCTTTGCTTGGGAAGCGGCGTCCGCACTTTTCCAGCCCTGTTTTGTACGTACGCACCGTTTACAAATGAGACCCCTGGTGTGTCCCAGCAAACTGGTAGGCAAATGTTCTGAACTCACTTGGCAACAGACCAAAATAAATGTCAGCTGACCTCGTAATACATTTAACAAGCTGCATCTCCAAATCAGGTGAAATAATTTTCTGTGGTACAGATTTGTTCTGCTACTTCACCTGCCTGACCTTATGTCAGGTGGTGTACTGCCATAGAATTTGAAACCCTCTTCCTTCCTGCATTTCTTTCCTTCCTTCCTTTCTTCCTTCAAAAACACTTTTTCCTCATTGCAATTACAAATAAATGAAATGCTTATTACATCTGCTATCCTTGTTGCCACGATGCAATTCACAACACTACTCTAAATTAATGACTGTATGAAGTGTATGAACTGCCAATAACTGAAGATGCCAATAGTTGAATATTCCACCCAGCCTGACTCTGCATGTCAGCTGACAGATGGGATGACTGGGATGTAATCGCAGTAATTGTCCTCAGTGTAAAGAAAACAGCTGGAAAGTAAATGCAGCCACAATAGATATGAAGCGGGTCCCTCAGGAACACAGCTGCATTCGCTGCCTTTAAAGCTCCATATTTCCTCACAGCTAAATGTGATTTAAAAATAATAACATTCAGATTCAACAGTGTCTCACATAATAAATACTTCTTTATGTATTCTTTACGGCTTTACATACAGTATGTCGAGTCAAAAAGCAAGAGTAACAGCTACAACCTTTCATACCTTTTAAGGGTAGGGTGTTAATGTCCAGGGGTCATTGTTGGTCTTTTAATCAAATTGATTGACCATAAGAAAATATATATCAACCTTTTCCTTTAGCAGCATACGAAAAAAAGAAACAACTGAAAAGACCTGTGAATAATCAACAGTTTTATTGTGGCATAATTCATTCAAATTACATTGTAATGAAAACTATTTTGAGAGAAAAGAAAAGCATCACCCTTAAAGAGTACACCAGTGACTCAGTATTTAGTTAGCTGACTCACAAGAGATTGATTAGAACACAGCGAATTAAAAAAAAGCAGTGGCCGAGATATGCAGAGTTCAGAGTCTAGTATGAATCAAGCTCCAAAAGTGTCTTTCATTGCAAATGTCCACTTCTTTATAAACCCACGCCTCCAGTTTGTAACGCAGCTTTAACGAGTCTCAAGCTCAAGCCAAACAACGTCATCAGGGTCTCCTCCTGAGCTACAGAAGACAGTACAACAGTAGTTCTTCTGAAAACTGGGGAGTATCCCCACCTTAAAACAACACACAGTCATCGAGAGTCCGTGACCCAAAGCAAACTTCTAAATATGAGATCATTAATCATATTGAATCTGCCAGTTACACGTACGTATTTCCAGTTTTGATAACATTTTCTACTACTCCCTTTACTTTTAATTTACTCAGTACTTTAAGAAAACCAATCACATTACAGTGTCAGTGTCAACCGCTCTTTAGACTTCAGTGTTCGCTCAAATGGATTTCAAGGATTGTATAAACTTTCATATAAAGCATGAAGTTTGTTCCAGACAACTTCAAATGTCTTCTGTATTGTCTTCACTGGTGCGATAGCTTCCTCAACTACCTCTGCTATTTCACAGGGTGGTGGAGACAGGTTTACAGCGGTCTCAGCTATTTGTTCTTTTACCACTGTGGCCAGTGCTGGTGCTGATTCCTTAAATAGCGCTTCCTTTACTGCTTTCACAGATTTGGAATTGTTCAACACAGCTGAGACAACCACTAATCCCGCCATGACTGTGAAACACACTAAACATTTATTCCATGTTCGAGACGACTTGTCCACCTTCTTCTTAAAGACGTTGCTCTTAGCCTGCTGTCTGATCTCTTCCTGTGACATGTTTCCTGATGACTGTCTAATGCGCTCTTCCTCTTTCTGTATGTCTCTTTCAACTTCTTGTAGCTTTTTATTTGTGTAGTAGCCTCCGTTGTGTTCCATCATTATCTTGTCTATGCTGTTGAGCAGCTCTTCCACCTGGAACCGGTTGCTCCTGTACTCATCCTGTTGCTGTTTCTTCCAGTATTTATTATCGACCACGTGGCACCGACCCCCGCACTTCTTCACCAGATCACTCAGACCATCACTTTGATCGACGTATTCCTCAATTTTCATTCCTTCCGGGAGCTGGTCACCATGAGTGAAGACAATTACAGAATATTTTAGAGCATCTTCAGAGAAACATTTACATATTTTAGTGATGACAGCCTCCTCAAGCTCTGTGAATTTCCCCACTTTAAGCACAATGAGAAAAACATGAGGCCCAGGAGCGCACTCTGTGAAACACCTCACTATCTCAGGCTTCATGTCGTCCTGAAACCCGCCTGTGTCAAACAAACCGGGAGTGTCGATCAAAGTGATGCTTCTTCCGTTGACAGATTTGGTTTCTGCTTGAGAACAATGCATTTTGCAATCAGTGAAATTGTTTATTTGGAATTTGGTTTCTCCAAATATGCTGTTAGCCAGGCTGCTCTTTCCAGCTCCAGTTTTTCCCAGAATGATGATCTTCCTTGAGTTTGGCACTAGAAGAGAATAATGAATTTGTATCAGTAAACCTCTTAAAGCTGTTGGACAATAAATCTGTTTAGGAACTGAGGAACATCTTAACTCTCTTTACTAAATATTCTTAGAATAAGCTCATGGATCCTGGTTATTGTCTAGTGTTTGATTCATGCTTGTTTTCTGTCCGCCTGTCTGCTAAGAGTTAGTTTGTTACCACTGCTTGTTTTGTAGTTTATTTGATTAGTATAATTCTGCTTTGGTCTGCTCTGTTTTAGTTATCCTACTCTGCTTGTCCTTGTCTGTCTGTGCTGGTCATGAATCCTGGTACATCTCTCAGTTGTGTTTATGCATTTTGGTCTGGTCTTGTCTGTTCTGTGTCTTGTTGTGGAGTTTGCCTGTGTTATTCAATTATCTGTCTCCTTTTTTTCCGTGTTTTCATTCCAGTTCCTGTATGATGTCTTGGGTTCAGTCTGCCTGTTTCCTGTCCTTGTTATTTTTCATCTAGGGGGTTGTTTCATTTGTTTTTCTGCATTTAGGTCTTTAAATATTTGCTTGTTCCTTCAGTCTTTGTCGGTTCTACCAGTTCTGTGTCTTTGGAATACATGATGTGTTTTTTGCTTCTGTTTGGACTTTGTTAGCCACGACTGTTTGAATCCTGAGTTTTTGAGTTTTATAAATTAAAAAGCCTTCAAACTAAAGCTGATCCTGTTTGTCTCCTGCGTTTGGTTCCTCAGCCTGCTTGGTGCACTCAGCAACAATTTTATTAAAACTAATTGTGATAGGAAAGTTCAAGTCAGGTGTCACAGGGAGAAGACACGATAATCTACAAATCCAAGGATTATAAAGTCAACTTGACACATGTCAGTTTGTTTTATCACAGTAAAAAACAACCTTTCTATCTAAACACATTAATGTTAACAGCAACAACTATAGCTATGAGGTCACCGAGGTCCAGACCTCTGTAATTAGGTGTATAGTCTATCAATAAAAAAACGTATCTAAAAAGTCTTTAGGATCATGTGGACTCATATATGCTCTGTAAAATTACGGGTGGGTGAAATAGGGTGAAGCTCCTCCCCATTAAGAGAGACGCTGTGCGCATTTACTCAGCATAACGTCACATTTAAATCACCTGACCTTTATTCATGTTCTGTGTTCTTCAACATCCACACGGTCTCACTCACACTCATACAGGGAACCTGTTTGGAGTAAAGCAGCTGTCCTCCTGATCAATCCTGAGCTCCATCATTAATTACTAGAGTTTAGTTTAGTTTTGCTGCTTAACATCCCAAGATAATTGCTGTGACATGACTGTGCGCATGGAAACGTCTAAATGACTGACACGGCCTCTCAACTCACTGAAGTCTATGTTAAAGAAAATACTCGCACATCAATACAACACACTGAAAAAAAATCACCTGTAAAGCTACAGAACCGTTAAAAACCGGGTAAAGTGTCCACACTGGTGCAGGTCTCTAAAGCTCAGAAAATAATTAGTTGGGCGGGTGGATGATGTATGTGTAGCCTACATGAGGATACAGATGATGTCAAAGCTGATATGCTGCATTACACTAATTTAACTGGCTGAATCGTGACAAAATGATTGCAAACTGCTGCTGATGTCACATAAGGTTGTAATCAGAGCACCAGAGCATCCTCTGCGTTCAGCACCTACATGCTGCACCTATTTTATGTTGCCAGTAATTATAGTGCCCATTATGTAGTTTACCATGTCATGTCACACACACACATACACACACACACACACACACACACACACACACACACACACACACACACACACACACACACACACATACACACACACATACACACACACATATACACACACACACACACACACACACACACACATACACACATACACACACATACACACATACACACACATACACACACATACACACACACATACACACACATACATACACACACATACATACACACACGTACACACACATACACATACACATACACACACACACACACACACACACATACACACACGTACACACATACACACATACACATACACACATACACACACATACACACATACACACACATACACACACACACACACCCACATCACCAATAGCTGATTTTTTAAAAAATAGATTCAGGTCACAGTAGATTTTGATATAATCAACATTTGCATACTGGGAGAGGGCCACACACACATACACATACACATACAAACACACACACATACACACACACACATACATGTACACACATACACACACACACACACACACACACACACATACACACACACACACACACACACATACACACACACCCATTGAGACACAATCTCTTTTACAAGGGAGTCCTGTATAACACAAATAAAACACAATATATTACGCAAATTAAAAAACAATACAGATTTACACAAGGCAAAAGACCTAAAATAGCATTATAAATAAAAATGTACCAGTGTAGCATCCTGCGCTAAGTTAAACTCAATTATGTATTTCTGTGTCATTCTACTTATACTGTACTTCTACACTACTGCATCTTAGAGGAAAATATTGTACTTTGACTCAACTACATCTATCTGGCAGACTGTTAATAAAAAACCTAGGATGAAAATTTGATGCCTTGTTGAAGATTAAACTATTCAACGCAGTTTACAAAGTAGTTAAAGTTTGTTCCCCCTTAACCAGCTACCACAGTAAAATTGTACTTACACATTCAGGCACACTTTTAATGCATTAATTACATTTTTCAGATAATTCTTACATGCTTTAATTTAGTATAATTTTAATGTATGACATACCTGTAATAAAGTATTTTAAGAGTATAATGTTGTTGCTTTTACTACATAAAAAATCTGAATACTTCCTTCACAGCTACAGCGATGAAGCAAGCTCAACTCACCGTCCATTTGCTCAAACAGAGATCGCTGTAGGCATCCGGACTGACTGGTGGATGTTTCTCCTCTGGCTCTCTTGCTGTGGTTTGACTGTACTTTCACTTTCTATGCCTCTTTGACTTGATGGGAGGGACCTGAACAATTGAATGACTCTTAACCTGTGAGGTTCTGAAGCAGGTCTGATTATACAGAATATGTCAAAGGTGAAGAAAAAATGACAAACATGCATAATAAATAATTAAATTAAAATGCAATGCAATTAATGTTTTCTTAAAAATTATATCAGACTCACACTTTAATAATCTATTTTTTATTACTAATTGCTATAATTTACAAAACAATAGAAACACCTTACAGCTCTATGATCAAATGAAATGCAAATGAAAATCTTGAAAATCTTGAAGATTCTTGTGACGGATGAGATGTGGTAAGAGATTAATAAAGGTAGGCTACTTTTATTCATACCTTTAATCACTTCCACCCAAAGATGAATAAAAAAATTGTAAATTCCACTGTATGCATTGCAGGTACATCAACTTAATTAAAATATGCAGATCAGGGGGATGACAGACAGATTACTGCACATGCAAAGCAGCCCCAGAATGTCTGTTAGAAGAAATAAATTGTTTTGCAAGTAGCAGTTTGTTACTCTTTCTGATTAAATACATTGTGCAGAAACACAAAGATTTTAAAAATATGTTTGTTGCTCTTGATTTATGGGACATTTAGGCACAAGGTACAGCAGCATAACATCACTGATTATTTGAATCTCCTGACAATCCGACAGGATCGGTCAGCATGAACTGACAGCAGCCTCTCTGATCAGGAAAGTAAATCGTTAAAGCACAAACACAGTCTATAGAAATCTATTTACGCATGATCCATCAGGGGAGCTACCGTCTCGTTAAGAGGAGCCGAGCTCCCCCGTAGTTTGCACCCTGCCTACAATCTCGACCATCGGATTCCCGCAACAGGAAATAAATTTACTCTTACTCATGGATTTGTTTTTCTGCTGCTGAAATGGTTTGCAGTGTTGGTGAATTATCAAATAAACAAAACACCAATTAATTTAGACTTAAAATGTATTGTAACGCGCGTTACTGAGATTGTAATGGGTAAAATATTTCCACATTTTATTTAGTAATGCGTTATATTACTGCGTTACAGTAAAAAGCAATACATTACTGTAATTACATTACTTTTGTAACGCGTTACTCCCAACGCTGGTCATGTGACACGTTAATGTTACATGGTTGACCAAAGAAGCTGAGTACACGTGCACTCAGCGTCATATCCAGAGGTTGTCTTTGGGAAACAGACGTCTGAGTGCTGCCAGCATTGCTGCAGAGGTGGAAGGGGTGGGGGTTAGCCTGTCAGTGCTCGGACCTTACGCCGCACACTGCATCAAATTGGCTGTCGTCCCAGAAGGAAGCCTCTTCTAAAGCTCCGAAAGCCCGCAAACAGTTTGCAGAAGACCAGCAGACTGAGGACATGGATTACTGGAACCCTGTCCTGCGGTCTGATGAGACCAAGATAAACGTATTGGGTTCAGATTGCGTCAAGCGTGGGTGGCGGCAACCAGGTGAGGAGCTCAAAGACAAGTGTGTCCTGCCTACAGTCCAGTATGGTGGTGGGAGTGTCCTGGTCTGGGGCTGCATGAGTGTTGCCGGGTAAAGGTGATGGACGGGCCGAGCGTGTCTCCAGACCTGAACCCTATTGAGCATCTGTGGGGGCTCATCAAACGGAAGGTGGAGGATCGCAAAGTCTCTAAAATCCACCAGCTCCGTGATGTCGTCATGGAGGAGTGGAAGAGGACTCCGGTGGCGACCTGTGAAGCTCTGCTGAACTCCAGGCCAAAGAGGGTTAAAGGCAGCGCTGGAAAATAATGGTGGCCACACAAAAAAAAAAATTGACACTTTGGGCCCAATTAGAAGATTTTCACTGAGGGGTGTCCTCACTTTTGTTGCCTGTGGTTTAGACACTAATGGCTGTGTTATTTTGAGGGAACAGCTAATTTACACTGAGTAATAATAAGCTATAACAATTGAATAAGCTGTACACTCACTACTTTACATTGCAGTAAAGTGTTATTTATTTGGTGTTGTCACATGAAAAGATATACAAAACTACAAAACTGTAAATGTATATGGTGTATACATGCAAATATACATACACATATATACACAGAACATTCTGCAATGCACTTTTGCTCCATTTGTATCTGGGGAGAATGTAAACTGCAGCCACAAGATGATAATATGGTTTCATCTTCATATACAAAAAGTCTGACATTTGGGAAAGTCCATCTTGACTACTATGTATCAATGTAAACACGCAGTCCGCCCTGCGAGTGCTAAACAGCGGTGTTAACAGTCACTTGTTCAGTCCCATAAAGCCCTAAATCAGTCCAGCAACTCTAACAGCCACATTCCCTTCCTTATGGCTTATCTGTTGGTTCCCTAGGCACCCGCGGCCATGCCACTCCAACCTCTGGGTGACATTTACACTGCCTGCCCAGGCCTGAGTGATGTCACGTTGGCGGGCACTGGCTGCTACTGTTGGCTCCTTCGTAGCTTACTGGAGTCTGCTGGACCCTCGTCGTGTCTTGGTTGCCACCAGCTTTGATAAAGTAGTCACCTGAGCTTCGATAAAATAAATAAATAACCCATATCATCATCAACCTTCCCATATCAGGAGTGCTTTGTGCTGTGCTGGCTTTGACTCTGTTTTTCTATTGCCCTCATCTATGCTGTCTCGCTCTGGTTTACCCATGTCAGCGCTAGTACTGGTAGGTTGAGTACTGAAATCAAGTATTAAAATAATTGTTTAATAAAAGACTCAAAGTAGGGGAAAGCGAGGTATGTTGTCACTGTTGTCAACATTTACTGGGCACCTTACATCACAATGGTATAAATGTCAGACCAAATGAAATAAGGATTTGTTTGGCACATACTATTTAGACTGTTGAATAGAGAGTGTGCACTTGTAACAACTACACACAACTACGACTACTCACTAATGGTTGTAGCCGATGTGTGAACTTTTTTTGGCATAATAAAGTCCATCAATGGACAGATGAGACTTGTGG